TTGCTGTTGTTGCTGCTGCTGCTGCTGCTGCAAAGACAAAAGAGAAAGGACCATCAGGGAACTGTCTGGGCAATGCACACAGCAACAGGGCACAGAAAGGCCTGAAGGAGGAAGGACATGCCATGCAATAACATACCCTCTTACACCATTTTCCTTACAGGTACCTAAATCACCCAAATTTCACCAGGACACTGCCCTGGGCTGAGAAATGGCAAGAAATACAGGGACAGTAACAAAATTCTGCAAGATGATATATCAACAGACGGCACGAAGAGAACTACGAGTCTACAGATCAGCTGGGAAATGACGAGGAGCAAACAAGATACAAGAATAGAAAACAACTAAGAGCTACCTCAAGACATTGGCTGGTTCATCTCTTGCCTCCTGGTTGAGATCAGCAATCCTGACTTCACCGACTACTTGCCTGACCTGTTCTCAAAGTTCTTCCAGAGGTAGCAACAGAGCTCCTACAACCTCCCTATGCAATCCCCTCCAGGTCACTCCCACTCCTGGAGTTTTCCTAATCTCTACCCTATGTTATAATTTAAGACCATTTCTTGTCCTACAGCCAAGGGACAAGACCAGTTAAGTATTTGTTGGCTTTTTTTGAAGACAAAAAACTTGGAGACTTATCTCTCGTCTGTCCCTCTAACCTGATGCCCAGCTATTTCAGCCTTTCCTTATCAGCCACATTCCCCAACTCTTAGATCTATCTCGCTGCCCTTCTCTTTGATTCACACAAGCAAGCGTTGCACTTCAGTAAAAGGATGCAGATAAAACTGGATGCAGTGCTCCAACCTAGATGTTGACAGAATTAGTTAAGATGAGAATACTCAGCGTGTTGAACTTTGAGTCAAAATATACCCACAAATCTCAAGGTTTTTTCATTTCTCCTCATTTTCAGACATTTCTCCGATCTGCCAATGTAGCTTTGAACTCTCTAGATCAACAGAAGAATGTCTACCAGAAATAGAAAACTACTAACACCATCATAAAAAACCAACATGGTGATGCTAGGTACAGTTCCAATCACTGGCTCAAAAGGGTAAGGTTCAGACCTTGAACAGACTCAGAAAACAGACAAAAATACAATCAGAAGGGACAGTATTTTATGAGGAGGTTAGAAACACCCGACCAACGGGAGCTGCAAGTGCTCCCTAGGAATACATTGGGTAAACATCAGAGAGAAAGAGGAGCCAGTAAACAACAGGACACAGTGGACAGTAACTGGATACAAGAACCAGTCACAAACACATTGAGGCTTGGATCAAGGATTCAGACCAAAGGGAGTAAGTTTATAGAACAGCCTCCTAACTTCCATCTTAAACTAGTTTGGCCACTTAGGTTCTTGAAATGGATGCTATGAGCAGGATACACAAGAAAGCAGATAGATGACTGACTAAATGAGCCAGGACACCCCTCCCTATTTTGTGTCCTACCTTCTTGCAACAGCTGACTACCAAGCCACCCAAGACAAACCAAAAGGCCATCTGTCCTTTCTACAAGCCACTGCATCATGACAAGTCAACTCAAGCACCAGGAATCTGTTCTGCATCTGGTATGCCTCTGATAATGCAGCAGAAGTCACAGGAAAAGGGGAGATTTTGGGCACTCCACCTTTTTTTAAGTAACCAAGCAATGTCGGCTAAAAGCTGAAGGTATACATGAAGTTACTGAGCTAGGAGAAGTGCTACCAATTTGTCTGAGGCATGTTCTTTTTCTAAATATGAGTGATGGAGAATGCTAAAAGAAACCAAGTGAATAGTCAGAGGGTGCTACTCATCAAAAGGATAAAAGCTGCTGACCATGCTACAGGCAGTCTCTTGTCCAGTGCAAGGCAGCAATTCTCAAATACTGCTGACTGCAGCTCTCTGCAGGAAACACTGTCTCACTCAGAACACAAAGCCTCAGCACTCCATGCCATGTAAAGCCTCCTCATATCCTACAGGTTTGCTAGGCCTTGTCATAAGGTATGCAATTCACCAATTAACCCAAACTATTTCTGTGTTTCTCTGTCAATTTAATACAGTTCTGTAACTCTAATAAATGTATTCATATCTGTATATCATGTAAGTAATTAATACTCATAAGACCATAACGCAAATCCATGGAACACTCATGTCTGTTGACACATGCCTGTGCACTTCTTTGAACCTAGAGAGTCGGGTCTAACAGCTCACTCTGGATCAGTTTTTCACCATTCGCTGTTAGATGTGGAGTACGTGGACTGATTCACACCATGTTTCCCACCATTGGAAATTGCAACTGATGCTTGTTTTGATCTTGTGAAAATGCAGACAAGGCCCTAAAAATGATCTTGCATGGAACAACTCTACCTGCTCTTGTGTGAGCAGAGGGACTTTCACTTTGCTTCTAGCTCCTGTAACACTTCTAAGACAGCTACTTTCTGCACGATCTCATGGGCTCTGCTGGAGCAGGAAGAAGTGGGATGAAGGCCACAGAGGACTAAGCAGACCATTACTGCTCCTAACTTCCCTTTAGCTCATGCTGGGTGACTGGCAAAAGGTAGCGCAGCAGATGGCTCCATCAGGAGTGGCCAGCTCTAAGGGAGAACTGCTTAGCAAATTATTAAAGTCAGCCCCCAACAGAGCTGACATCCTTCCTGGCACAGAGGGGCAGGGCGGAGTGTTGCTGACACAAAGGTCAGGAGAGCTGGGCAAGCCTCCTCCAGCTCCAGCAGCCTTCCTCCTGTCAGCAATCACTCACCCTCAGCATCTGCTGCTGCTGCCTCAGGTACTGCTGCTGCTGGTCAGGCAGTATCTGGCTGGGTCGAATTCCTGAAGAGACTCCTTGTGGACCCAAATGGTTCATCCCACTCATCATGGGGGCCTGCTGGATCGACTGGTGAGGAAACCTGCAGGAGAAAAGGACAAGCTCATGGAATAAAAGATTCATGGGCAGGCAGCTTCTTTAATCCAAACGCAACTTCTGCCATCAACAAGACAGAGAGCCCAAACAGCCCCTTGCAATCCATGCTGCCTCTCTGCAGAAAGGTAAGGGACACGAGGGCCTCTCAACGGTTTCATCCAACCGGCTTTTCTAGAAGCACTAAGTAACAGTCCTTGGCCCACTGTTTGCACAGTTTCCCTCCTGGATTCATGCCTGCTCAGGAGCTGCAGAAATCCCAGATCTAGCCCTTTGATGGTGATCTGCTGGTTAGATTTAAAACCAAAACTATCACTTTCCCAGGTAATTTTTCCTCACACTTCACAATTCCATCTTTTTCTGGATGGCAATGGGTAAAACACTGGCTCCTGCCTGCAACTAGCATCTCTGAATTTCATCCTGTCTTCTGTTTCTTCCCGGACTGAAAGCTGGATAAAGATGTTCCCCCGACAGTGCGAAGGACTCAGATGCTGTATAACACAGCACGGAGAGCCAGCTTTTCACAGATTGCTGTTAGGGTTGTCTCGGCAGAGCAGGGAAGTCCTGATGAAATACAGCTTATTAGCATCCAGCAGGGTGGGAGGTACCTCTGTGTGTTGCCCAAGGTGTGCCCATAGCCAGGGGCCTGCTGATGCACGTAGCCACTTGGTCTCTGCTGCATCTGTCTAACAGGATCCACCAAGGCAGGATTAGAGCTAGGGTGGGAATTCTGATAGGGCTGGCCAGAATAGGTAGGAGGTACCATCGTGCCTGACTGGGATGGGTGCTGCTGAAGCCCTATGTGAGAGACGTAAGGTGTGTAACCCTAAAATGAAACAAAAAGCCTTCATCAGTCATGGGGTAAGGTACAAGAGAATTTGGAACAGGACATCAGCCTCCTGTAAATATGTCACAAGGCTGCTCCTCTCTGGGATTCAGATTCATACTGCCCAGCAAACGAGGAGTGAGAAGAGCCAAGAGATTTCAGGATTTAGCAGCAGAAACCAAGATGCTGCCCTGTGCTGGAGCCAGACTCCAGTCTTACCTGCAGTCACTGCTACTTACCTGGGAGGGTTGCAGTGCTCCATAGGATGGGGTTGGAGCCATCTGGCGCACGGGCTGCTGTCCCATTATGCCTTGGCCCTGCTGGAAGGCAACAGAGAAACACTTTTTTCAACATCTCCAAAGGGCAGGACGCCATTCCTCTCTTCTTGGCAGCTCCCACCAAACCAGACAAGTAGCTTCACTGCTAAACCTATGAGGCTTCTGCACAGCATGCAGATGCTAATGACTTCTGCCTCGCCCCAGTGTGGGATAGACCACCAATATCCCTACCATCCCACAGCAAGGATGTGCCCCTCTCACTGCCTGACAGCCACAGCTGCCCCAGTGCACCTCACTGACAGTCTCCAGCAACTGCTAGTCATGTGGGTCCACAAGGTGGGTTGAAAACACAGTGCTGCACCAGAGGAATAGACACAAGAGGCATCTTTCCAGGACAGAAACAGAGACAGGGTTGTGGAGTTCTGGCTCAAAGGGATAGCCCCAGCAAACATCTTGAGCTTAATGTACTGTGGGGTCCGCCAAGAGCAAAGCTCTGACTTACCAACTTTGCTTGAAGCTGCTGCCTCAGTATCTGTCCTTGGGACACTGGAGCCTGCTGTCTGTACACTGCTGGCTTGTAGGAGGGGTCAAGGCCCATCATGCTCCCCATCCCTGGAGGCAGCACACCACTATAGGGAGGACGACTCTGAACAAGTTTCCCCAGTGGCATGCGTACAGGCCTGTAGGATGTATCCAGGCGAGGGCCACCTGCAAGAGTAAGAGAAACACAATGACTAGTTACATGCTATTGCTGAACCTTGTAGCTCCAGAATGACTGTTCACCACTGCATTTAGACACACGACAGGCAAAAAGGGGAAAGTGCAGGGACCTGCATAGGGCCATCTCACAGAAGGGATTCTTACAAGAGGCTCCCAATAGGTGCAATATGCTCACGTCTCCTGTGCACCTACCTGCTGGAAGAGGCTGATTCTGGGCATAGAGACCCACTGGTGATTGCCCATATGCCAGCCTTGACATAGTGCCTCCTGACTGGTGATGCAGGAGATCTGTAGGCATACTAACCCCATATGAAACACCTCGGCTAGGGCCCAACACAAAATCCTGCAAAAACAAAGGAGTAAGAGAGATCAATTTGCAGCGAGAATTCATGAATGGATGAAAAGTATGAAAGAGCTGCAAAGTTCATAGGAGGAAGGTATCTATCTGAGCTGAGCAGCCTCCTTCCCTCCCATCAGGGATTAAGAAAACGTTTGCCCTGCCCCAGGCTGGAAAGAGCACGGCAGAGCTCCAGCACTCCCATCTGAAAGGAAACATATCCCATCTTCACCATTACACCACTCTCAGGGTCCTCATAAAGACTCAAAGGATCCTCTGTGACTAGAAGCGGTGGACACGGGAGGTCCATAACCATTGGGTAGTCAATTACCTCAGTTTTGCTGGCAGATTGGTTGCGTTTCTTGGTTTTGCTCTGTTTCTTCTTGCGTTCTTCAGTAGAAGCAGCAGGATTTGAGCTTGTTTTATCAGCCTTAGCTGGTTCTGCAGCTTTCTTCTCTGGTTCCAAAGCCACAGGTGTAGGAGGCTCTTCCTCTTCAGGGGGCAGCGGCAATGGCTCCAGGTAGTAACTGCGAGGCTTGGGTTTCAAGTGCGTGTGGTACAGAAGAAGCCTCTGCTGCTCCTCAAACCTAGACACCTTGCGATCCACCCGGACCGTCCCAAACCATCCCCAGGAGAGGGGGGCTGAGTGCTTTAAGCCCTCAAACAGATCCCAAGGGGAAATCTTCTGCTTTGTAGAGACCTGCAAACCCTTTAAAGCAAAAGAGATAGGGACTTGGAGTTCTTATTATTTCTCCTATGAGGGTACAGGAGACTCTATGCTTTCCTCAGGCTCTACTCGACATGTGCCTGTAAACAGCCTGAGCCCTTACTAGCAGTCCCTGCTCCTCCACGTGGCAAAGCAGTAATTTCTAAAGGCCTTCAATAACAACCGCTAGTGTCCTTCATCCCATCTCTGCCAGTCTTCTGCACACTGGCACTTCCCAGTAACTCACGTGACAGGGATTACGGGTTTCTCTTTATGCTTTATATAGCCATAAGTACAAAACCAGTTTAACTAACTTCTCAGGCCATAGCAGCATGTATTGCCAAGCATTAACCCCAGCTTTGCCCTTTTTGGACATGGTTATGTGCCAGCTTGTCTGCATGCAGCCAACCACTTCAAGCTCGGCAGGCAACAAGGTGCTGCATACAGGTGCCTCCCAAGATGCATAGACTCAAGGCATCAGAGGACAAGGTGACACCTGCACTCAGGAGCTATAATGCAGACAAAAAAGCTTCACTTACCTCCTTCTTGAAGATGGAGTCAAATCCAGCTATTTTATTGCCTTTGGTGTCAATGAGGGATCCCTGAGGTTCACAGGTGATGACATCTCGGGTTTGCTTGGGAAGTGGCAGTAGCTGTCGCACCTTCTCCAGGCTGTCAGATTGCCGGTCCCCTAGCTCCTTCTGCACAAGTGAAATAGAGACTTGAAGAATTACTCAGGAAAAATCATCCAAAGCCCACCTGTGCCTTTTCTGATGTTAACCTCCATCCCCACATTCCCTCTCACCCTTCAGTCCTAAAGAAACATCAGAGCCACCCTCACTGCTCCATCTAAAACAGCAGCAACAGGACAAGTACCATTCATACTATGCAGTACAAATCTGCATAGTTGGACAATCACGACACAGCACACACTGGTCCCCATACAGGGTCTGGTGTCCCTCACCCTGAGTTTCTTGACAAGATTCATGTATGCCCGCTTGTTCTCCTCCATGCTGCCCTGAGAAATGCTGGACATGTCAGCAGCCAGGGTGCCGTTGATGAGAACACTCAACATGTCCAACACAGTGGTGAAGAGCTCACTGTTGGTCAGAGCAGAAAGGTTAAAGTTGCCATCATAGCAACACCAAACATTGTTAGCATTACTAGCCTGCTGAGAGTACTGCCTACAGTCAGAAGTGCCAAGCGGTATTTTGACTAGCCTCCCACACTCATCCTCCTTTTGCTTATACACCACAGGGTGTTCACACTTGAGTAAAGTGCAGTCTCACAGATTAAGACCTGCCTCCTGCCTACCCATTCAGCTTCTCCAAAAAGCAGATCCAGACTCAGCTCTTCCCTGCTTATCTCTCTGCATCTGGAAAGCCAAGTTTGCTCTGGATATGTCAGAGTGCACTTGGATACTAGGACCTAGGTTGTAGCCTGCTATTACTCCGAAGTCTCTTTCGGCCGTCACAGTACTTCTGACATTGTCTAGAGACAGCTAGCTCACATAAGAAAAGGGGCCATGCTAACGACTGCCTGCCTTGGCAAGTGTACAGATCAGAAGTCAGCCAGAAAGTTACTTGTTTGACTGCATGTCCACGGTGCCACTGCTGATGATGTCCAGTAGAAGCACAGCCCATTCAGTCGTCTGCTGTGTACTGCGTTGAACTGTGTCAAACATTCCCCCCACCTGGCAGAGAAAAGTAGTTTAGTCACAAGGACACCATGAAGAAACATTAAGATTTAAAAGTGAGAAAGCAGCCTAAACCAGAGCAACTCCTGTGCTACAGCAGCTCCTACTGAGCTGAAGGAGCCTGAAGTCAGCAGCACAAACCTCAGATGCAAGTAGTAGTGCTGTGGACTGCAAAAGCATTGAAATGGGAAGATACACCTCCAAAACAGAGACCAAGGCTGTGGATTTCATCCTGGCGAAATAGAGCAAGCGACTTTTTCCATGCACACTATCCTACTCGGGGCTCAACACCTAGAAGCAGCACAAGCGCCTCTCCTACTTCCTTGTCTCAGGACATATATAGCCCCTCCAGTGTGTGCGTGTTCCAAAAAAAAGGAAAAAAGGCAGACAGCAGACAGATCTTCACCCTATACGGTTAAGCTCTTTTACTGCAACTGCTTACCAAATTCAGCCGTAGTTTCAGGGCCTCATGCATCAGCTGTTTGGCTTTGCAGTCATCTTGGTACTGATCTTCCCGCCAGTTTGTAACAATCTAAGAAATTTAGAAGAGAGGACAGAGCTCACAACCTGTAACATGCTGAAGTTTGTAGAGAGCAGCTTGTACTGCCCGCTGTCCAGTGACTCAGAGATGGTCAACTCAAGCACCCTGTACCAACCAGGGTAAGACCTTTGCCGTATTGAGCATATAATCAGACAGAGAACATCCTCATGGGCATGCCCAACAGCCTGCCTACTGGAGGAGTGAGCCCTTGAGGAAAGTGAGGGGAGAAGCAAGCCACCTACCTGCTGGACCTGACTGTACAGAGAGGTGAGGAGGCCTTCCCGCTGCTCATCCTGTCCTTTCAAGCATGTTAGCACCAGTGACAGAAACGGCTGCTGACTCAGGAGGGACATGCTGCAGAGACAGAGATGGAGCTATACTGCTAGGCTGGGGGATCAACACAGCAAGCATGGCCTGCCCTTCCCCCAGGACTCACCTCTTCTGCTTCTGGCGGTCCCTCTCTTTGCGGGATGATGATCCCAGATGCTGTCCTTTCTCCAGTTCTTCTCCAGCAGCTTTCAGCACATGGCCTTGCACTGATGTTGGAAGCTTGGCAATCAGAGGGGCCACCAGCCACACTCCTGATCTCTCCAGGGAGCTGTGACACCAAAGGAGAGAAAAGCAGCTTGCAATCCAAGACTCATCTAACAGGCAGCTGCATGCTGGGACTACACCTACCTGAGGATGGGTTTGGATTTGTTGCTGGCAGGTGTAGCACTTGCTGAGTTACTGACATTGTTGACTCCATTGCCAGCAGAGCTAGAAGAGCTGGTCTCTGCTGACTGCTGGAATACCTCAATGGTGGCCTTGGCTATATTTTCTAACAAGGAGTTCATCTCCTGGAGATAGGGAAGAAAAGACAGCCAGGTCCTTCTCTGAGAGCACCCACTCACAAGGCTTGCACATTTCAACACAACTCAGTACAAACCCAGTTTGACAACTTCCCCATGGCTGCTACTCTTCAGGTTTCAGACTCACCACGTCCTTCTCCTGCTTGGCTTTCACAGGCCTAACTCCCTCTCTGCTTACTTTTTCCCTATTACCACTTCTGCCAGGCCACCTGTGCTCCACCTCACAAGAAGCCACTTCAACACTGGCAACGCGCATCCCCGTACAGCCCCTCTGAGCAGAAACTCACATTGTTTGCAGTCTGCTTAATCATGAGCTGCAGCTCCAGCGAAGACTGCCTCATGGTCCACTGGTCCAGATTCTACAACACACACACACACATACTTCATACGAGTCCTTATCTCAGTTCAAACTACATGAACCCACACTCTCAGCTCCCATGATAATGAGTGTCAGACACCTCAGAGGGGTGCATTTTGGACAACCCCACTCTAATGCTACGTTAGGCAATTGCTAGGATACTCTTAGATTCTGCCAGGAGCTTGCACCTGTAAGATGCGTTTAATCCTCTGCCGTTGAGGATTTTCTCCTTCCTCATTGTCCAGCAACCGGTGTGGATAACAAATCAGCTGCATCAGCCTCTGGGCCTGTGTGCTGCTCAGGACAGGATCCTGCAAGTCATTGCTGTCTTCACAGAGGGACTTCAGACATCGTTCACCTACCCACTCCTGCAAGATGAAGGCAAAGACAGCACAGTCAAATCGATGTCTGATTCCAAATCAGCACCCCTGCTTTCAATCTCAGAGAGATGCAGGGAACACGGCAAACTCAGAAAAAACTTATTAGTACGCAGTTATGCCTGATAAACATTTCTCTTCGTGAACTGTATTATTCTGATTCAGCAGGTGTCAGGCACAGCACAGCAACCACAACAGAGGAAACATCAACTTCAACAAGTCAGCAGTGGTGAAACACAGTAGCCACTGTTTTTTTTGATAAAATATTGGTATGATTTAACAGTACACAGTCACTGCCATGCCCAGGCTCCATCAACACTGCTGCTTGGGCTCAAAAGATCAGAAGGGATCACTTAAAATTATTTGGTCTATTTCCTGCACAACAAAGCCCTGGAGCTGTCCTAAACTAAATAATTCAGAGCTGCAGCTCAGGCTGAACTAGAACATGTCTCAGGAAAAAGCACATCCCTTAATTCTCAAGTAGCAACGGAAAACATACTACCATCCTTAGTAAAAAACAGTGACTATACTTCTCAAACCCCTTGAAAGAGAAACAATTGACTGGATGCAAGCCATTTATAAAGTCACAAATTGTGACGAGAAGATAGACAGAAAACTATTATTGTCAGCCTCTCAATTTCAGTTGGTGGTCCCTAAATGTATGACAATAATAAAGGCAGAAGTTTCCAAAACAAACACGAGGTAGGTACTTCGCACGACTTACAATTAACCTGCAGCTTTTGTTACTGCAGGATTTTTTCATACTGAAAATCCATTAGGCAAATTCATTAATTTAAAAATCTACAAAGGACTGCTATATAAGCACTTCTGCAGCTGCAGAGCAAGCCTGATCAGAGAATTCTTCCACTGAGAAGTGACAACCAGAGGAGAAGAGATGAGGATCCAGTTCATGAAGCACAAGTGCTGGTACTAAGCCTAGAAAGCTGGGAACAGTGCCTCTCAGCAGCAGACAGCACTCTAAGCACCAAGTAGAACACAAAGATTGGAAAGGCTAAATCTCTAGTTTGAAATCCTTGTGAAATCACAGCCTAGATGAAGTTTCCACTTTGCCAATACACATGATCTGGTGATTTCTCCCATGCCTATTGCATTTCTCCCCTTCAGTGTTGCTACATCATAATCTCTTGAAACTTCTCTTCCTCACATATGTAACACGCATATCCTTGGGAAGATCCTTTTTGTCTCTTACTCAGCTTCCCACAAGAATTCAGACTTTGCCTCTGATCTACTTTATTGGTGTAATCGCACAAATAAGTATGAACTCAACTACTATCTTCAGCCTTGAAGGACCTCTAGCCTCTCTCTCTCTGCAACATTTCTTTACAAAATACCCACATTTGCAGGCTTCATATTACTGAAACAGAGCTTCTCATCCGGGTCTTCGCATGAGAGCATTATGAACATGTTTTCCAAGCACTCTGGACAACTCCACCAACCCAATCACCAGATTCAGGTTAGCACCTTTGACTCAAGCCTACCTTTTGGTTCCCGTCGTGGTTTATCACAGCTCTATGATGAATTCCACTATAATATATACACCTGAATATGAGATGCAACGTTTTCTGAGTCTGAGAAGTCACAGCCGACTGTGTTCTACAGTATTCTATAGACATTTCAGAATTGATAGGGTGAGCTCTGCAGCATCCACCACTCACATTGCAGGTGCTAATATTAAACACATCATTTTACCAGCCTTTAACAGCTGCAGGAACCCTGCAGGAGAACTGGCACAAATTGGTGGTGCTCACTGCTGTCTGCTAGAATGCTCACAACCAGTGCTGCCAACAGCTGGTATGCGTACCTGATACTGCTACTCCCTCCTGTACACACACTTTCTACCTACTGTGAGTCCTTCCTGTGTAGACTGGGACCAGAAAGGGAATATCTATTTCTGCCAGTGCTACAGTCAGGTTTCAGTAACACCAAGAATGTTGAATTCATGCTCATAAATAGGTGGCTCCAATTCTTCTTCGGTAGGCTGGTAACGTTGCTAGATAGTGAGCCCATTAATAAACAATAGCATCACAAAGCATGAGGACAACACACCACTAATGGGTTTATGCATATAGTAATGCAGAATACAGGTTTCAAATTGGAATTCTGCATCTTTCCTGTTAACAGAATAAATTTGCAACCAAGGTCAAGGACACCCTTCAACACTCATTTTCATATAGTAGTGGTAACAGCCACTCCACTCTGCAACTAAGTACCTTATTAGCCAGCTTTCAGCTCCTCAACGTCACTTTTCCACAAAGGAACAAAAATACTGGTACCGTCAGATTAGGCTAAGCAGAAGATTTTTTGTTGTTGTTCCTTTAATTAACTAAACAGGGCACTGCAAAGCCCAGGGATACATTAACAGCCTAGCTGCAAGCAACACTTAAGCTGCCTTCTGAAAGGCACCATTTATCACTTCAACAAGCTGTCTTTCTCACGCTTATCTTCTTTGCCTCCAGCACAGATCTCAGCAAACCACTCCCAGCACTCCCCTCCTTGGACAAGAGCCCCGTGCTGTTGCCAAAGCAAAGGGGATGTGCAGTCCTTGCATACTGCAACATCTAATTCTTGACAACTGTTTGCCTCTCTTTTCTGCTAATGGTGAGCAATCCTTAGCGCCATCACGTGGCAGAACCATCGCAAGTTCTTTACTGATCTTTCAGAGAAACGCCTGACAAACCTAATCTGCGGGTAAGTTGTCCATCATGTCCGCAGAAGGGGTATGGACAAGCCTAGAGATGGGACACTCACCTGTTGACATATACTCCTTAGTACATACTTGGCATAAATATCCAAGCTAGCTGTTTCTACAGTTACTACCCGACCACTGGCCTTCCTGGTGCCCAGCTCATCATCCATGAGATCATCAACACCTCCAGGGTGGGAAAAGCCAGAGCCTTTCAGTTCTGCATCTCCTATAACAAAAGCACAAGTGTCACTTCATCATCAATGTTAACTCCAAAGCCTGACCCACAAAACATCCTGAGCTTTTGTAAACTCTATCTGCAATCAGCAATCTCTCTGCAGCTAAGAGATATGAAGCACATTTACAGCTCACCCAAAGGGGTTCAGACAAGCCACATATCCACCAAAACAGATTTCCTTTGGCCTTCTGTACAGCCAACACATGCAATACAGTCCTCTTCTCCCACCCCCCCAAAAAAATTCTTACATTTCAGGCTAACACAGGTACACACCCAGAACAAAGACAGCCTTCAGCACTGCAAAGACCGCTCCATCCACAATACGATTCTGGGAAGCTGCCAGTAAGTGACGGTCAC